CAGTGATTCCAGATATAATATGTTAATATTGCAGTTTGGCTTCCAGTTGAGAAATGTAAATCTGCCTTATTTGTTGACATAGGTCTAAATGTATGTCTTAGATGTTTGGGGTTTTTTTTCATGTATTGATAAGGAGAAGTCTCAGTTATGAATTAATTTTTTTCTCTTTTTTTTGCCAGAGAACTGTTTTCCCTGAGATTTTTAATCTCCTATTTTTAAAAAAGAAGTTTCATTTTGAGTTGTTCTTGATAAGTAAGAATTCTTTTCAGAAAGCATCCTGTGGAAATTCAGGTGTATGGTTTGAGCTAATACAGTTTGGTTTGCATTGCAGTCATGCACGCTAAAAATACAGTTGATAATGGATATTAATGTAATTTCTTGTACTTTGGGGATTTGAACCTTTTTAAGATGCAAGACTTCTCTGGGTTATCTGTAGACTGTCTTTTGAGGGGCTCTCAGACCATCCTGAAGATCATGTTTGCCAACAGGGATAATGGGAAATCTGTTTCAACTGGTGGAGAATGGATGCTGGCTAAACATTGCATTCTTTCTTTCGTTGTGGAATTTTGTTAGTTATGTGTGTAGGACAGTTTTCAGGATTCATTCAGTGTACAGATCTCGTAAAAAGTAATACTTTGCATCTAAATGGAAAAAATATATATAAAACTTCATCCTGAAGACAAAATCTTTAATTTCACAAACTAGTTCATAATACACATGCTTCAGTATATTTGCATATCTTGTAATGCTGTGTTGTGTCTGCGTAATTTAAATCTAATTTAGTAAGCAGTTTGATCTAGCTTTAGTTGATCTTGGAAAATATGCTCTCAGTATAAATGTGTCACATACGCTTTGCATGAATTTAAACTGTATGACTGTCATCGTTAGTCTAGAGTGATTGTCCATCTGTTATCTTTTGAATAGAGTGCTTTTTTTATGTGTAAAGAATGACAATGTTAAACTTTGATTTATTGTTGTAACTGGTTTTGAAGAAAGAAATTCCTCGCCGAAAAGCCTAAGCTTTTTAAAATTATTTGTGGTAGGGCCCAGTTTACAGACATCCAATGAGATTTTTCTTCAGTGCTGTCAGTTAGTTGCTGTTCTCTCCAACAAATGTTTTTTTGTGCTGTTTATGGGGGAAAAAAAGCCTAAATCTAAAATATCTCTGAAGATAACTCCTTCTAAGAATTCTGATGAAAACTCTACTGATCTATGAGATTTTGGTGGACTGTAGAGAAAGGAGTGCAGTGATGTCTGAACTAGCACCTGAATGCCTAAATATCTGAACTGAACAAATAACTGGCATTTTACGGAATGTCAATAAATTGGAGTTTGGCTTTTAAGTTGGCTCAGAATCACTTCTGCTTGAAAGTGAAAGCTCAGCATCTTCACAGAACTATGTGCAGACATAGTAGGTTTATAAAACCTTCATTCTTCTTATCATATTTAGCCCCAACTTTCTAACAATTGTAATTGTCCACAGAAAACATTTTGAGATAAATGCATTATCAGGTTTTGAAATTTTCTTATTTTTGTAAATACTAAGACCTGGGGGGCAAAATAAGGGCTATATTGTGGATTAAGTGAAATATCTCAAGGCTGTGCTTTTCTGATAACTGAACCTGAAGTGACCTTTCTCAGACACAATTACAGAGCTGTATGTTTTTCCTTTAATTTCATCAGGGGTTTAATTAGTATACAAATAAAACTTCCCTTATCTTCCTTTCTACCTAATTGGCTTGTCTTCGCTTATATATGAAGAATGTGAAAATGGGCTGTAATTAGGGTGACCGTGTTAACCTTTTTTTCTCAAATGTACTGTTGCCTAAAGGCCTCAAGGCCTAAAAACAGTGCTTTGGATTATTGCTTTGCAATCACTATGGCTCTCCCATAGGTTTTCTCATGAGCAGAAGGGCTTTGGGTGCTGCAGGTTCCCACTGCTTAACGGGATCTTCATTCTTCTCCCCACTAAATGTTTATTGATTATCTCACTGCTCCACACTCAGCCTCCAACAACTTAATATCAGGTGACAGTCAGGAGAGTTCTCCAAGTAATTAGAGTGGAGCATTGAGGGAACAATTAGGAGCAGAGTTATTAAACTTGATTTATCCTATTCTCTCCTGAACACTTTCTTGGATATCAGAACATCACACTTTCACAATCTACCCTGGCTGAGAAATTAGTGGCTAACCTGCTGCTTATCATTGTTGCCTTGCTGCCTTGAGGCACACCCTCTTGGTTTCAGTCACTCAGCTGGAAATATTAGAGTCCATAAAGTTTATCAAGGGTTTTAATTAGATCAATCTGAAGAAGGAAAAAAAGAGAGGCTTAGCAGCCATTACTTTAGAATACTCCACACTGTATTTGAGCAATTTCCAAGGCTTGACTTAAACCCACAGTAGCAAGGAGCTTCAAGTGAATGCTGAAACTACTTTTAGAGACCTAAAATCAGTTTACATTTTGGTTAAAGATGACAATATTATTGATAGACAAAGTCTGAATCCTTTGGAGATTTCTGTAAACAATGGTGAAGTTTTGAATATAATAAAGCAGCTCTTCATGAGATGTTTTACTTAATCATTTCTGTGTTGCTTCATCACCAGCTAGTGTGGATTGCTGGTCATACCTCTCTAAGAGTTAGCTTCATGATTGTCCCTGTTACTGCCTCATTAATAGGCCTGTGCTTGCAATCGGTAAGCAAGAATGCTTAGCAGTTCCCAGAATATTTTGACACATAGTGGGTCTCTTCACTATTTGTGGTCAGTGATGAAAGCATTATGTGGGAGCAAACAACTCTCCAGCCCTGTAGAAGAACAGGTATCTAATAAAAATGAAATAAATGTGCATAATATTCCTGCATAATATTCCTAATAGCCTGTCTTTCTTCACTCATTTAGACCACTAGAATCTTGGACCCAGACTCTGTTACAGCACCCTCTACAACAAAAATTGCATACATGAAAATATTAGCAGAATTATCTACTCTGTAATGGCCAGAGCTCGGTCCTGTGACTGTATCTTAAAAACAGATTTTCCAATCAGATGGGAAAGTGGGGTGAACACAGTATTGGCACTAGAGACATTGTTCTCTGTTCAATAACTTCTGTTTGTCAAAAACTGGAAATATGGGTGTAGGGGGGTACATGACTTATTTTTCAGAGCTGTTTCCCCAATGCTGACTTAGCCTAAAACAAACAAACAGTAAACACAGGAAGTGGGACAAGATACTGTTCTTCGTTCTTGAATTAAACATAGCTCCATTTATCCTTGCTAATCCACGTGTTGTTTCTTGGAAACAACTTTTCTGAAAATCTGACAATTCACAACTTTAGCTGTTCAGACAGGGCTTTGATAGTTGCCAGTGGCATTAGGGTAGAATTTCTGAAGGCAACACCTCTGGTTTTGGATATCTTTATGCTAATAATGCAGTGGAAGAACAAGATCTGTTTGTTTATCTTTTCTTAGGTGAAAAATGGCATTCTTCATTGAAAATGATGACATAAGAGGCAGAATAGAGTTATTCAGCCTGCAGTAATTTGACATAGACTAATATTGGTATTTCAGGGCTTTAGAGTTTCTTAAACTCTTGATTGGCCTTTTTTTTTCTTGCAGCAGTGACTAAGCTCAGCTGGGATTTTGTAAATTGCTGAACAGAGTTCACGTAGTGGTGCTGTACGTTCCAAATGCACTGTTGAAATAATTGGTTGCTTTTTTGTGTTGAGAAACGTTTGAAGAAAACGTATGCCAATCCACAGATTTCAGTTTATTTGCAGGACCATGCAGTTTTATGCTGTACTTTGTTATTTTATAGAAATTTTCTCTGGCATATTGTTTTTTGATTTGCCTTTGACTCTTGGCTAGGTCTGAAGCTTTTCAGGTTAGTTGAGTTTTCACTGCCCTCCAAGTTTTTATCAGCCTTTTGTATATACTGTTCTTAATACATATCCACAGTGTAATGTATACTCTCTGTATTACACAGTCCAAGTGAAGTACTCCTGAGTACAGAATGCGCAGAGCATTCTTAGAACTTAAGCAGAAAACATTTCTATAATTTTTGGAAACAAGGTACAGGAGCTCAGTCTTTCAACTGTGGAGCCTTTGCTGTCCTTCCATGTTGGTTTAGAATCTGTCAGGGAATTTGCGTTTTTGTAAAAGAATGTTTATAGCCGCCTATTATAATTTCTTTCTACAAAGGCAATTAACAGCTGTAAGTAAAATGTAACATTTAGCAAACTGTGAAATCACATTATTAATACACCAGTCTATAAAAATATTGATTTATCCCAGCAGAAAAGAGTAGCAACTAGCCAGGTTCTGTATTAATTAGTTCTGTGTGCTATTTGTCGCCTATTGCATTAATCTCAATTGATTTTATACAAGTTGTGTTAATTCTAAGCCAGAGAAAAAACATTAAAAATCCGCATGCTATTTTGCATATTGCAAACTAGTGCTAAAATAGTGAAAGCACCACAAAGTAGTGATTTATTCTTAGCAAGATTTGCACCAAAACTGTACTTAACGCACTAACAGAGAATATTAGATTCTTGCTTTTTTATAAGTGTGAAATTTCTGAATAGTGCAGAATATTTAAGTAAATGCTATTTTGTTTATTCCCTTTTCTTGTGAATTCATTTCTTTAATGTTAATGTTAAATTAAGCTTTGAGAACATTCTGTTCTCTTTAGTAATGTACTCTTGATTACTTCCACTGTGTTTAGACCTGGTATTTGTAAATATAATACGTGTAGCATAGTACATGTACCTGTTTGATCAACAAATCACTTTATTTTATAAAACATATTTGTACGTCGGAACTATACGAAAAACTGGGGGTTCTGAGTTGGTAGTGTTTTTGCTAGAGAATTCGTAAAACCTTAGTATGTAATGTTACAAATCTACTTCACAGCCAGTCTATTTTCCACTTTGTTTAATAGCCTATGGCATAAATTGAAGTTAATTATTTGGGCTGACAAGGAACTCTGCTTTCTGTCTGCTTGCAGAGACTCTCCGAGGCAAAGATGGAGCTGAGAAGAAAAGATCAATCTCTGCGTCAGCTCAATAGACTTCTTACCCAGCTGGAGCAGGACAAGCGTCGGCTGAGAGAGAGCATCCACGATGCAGAGAGTGCCCTCTGCATGGCAGCGAAGTGAGCGCTGGGACCTTGGGGAGATCACTTAAAACGGACAAAAGATCAATTCTTACTTTCATGCGCAGGGTTTTAGCCCTGGCTAATGTAATGCTAGAAAACAAAAGTACATCTGTCTCTCTTTGAAATTCAGTGGTAGTCTTCTAAAAAGAAAACTGTTAGTTCAAGATACTAGAGGGTGTGTTTTCTATAGTTATTCTATAATAGTGCTTCAAATTCTGGGTCCTGAAATAGCATGGGCATTTTTGTTTGTCAGTTGTCTTACTGATTTGACAACATCATTTTGGCAGATCGCTAATACTCTGTTTATTTAGGAAATGATTGCTTGTTCTCTCTATTTCCACATCATCATTTTATAGAGAGATACAATTTATTTATAATAAAAGCAGAAACATCTGCTAGGTCTTAGCTGCCAAAGGGGCTGAAACCCATTTGGACCTAGCCTTATCTGTGGAACAGGATAGATCTTTTAGCTGATTTCAGAGAGTTTGGGATTTAGACATAAAACCCATGCCTTTTTATACCATAACCTGGAGAGCGGAAGGGAATGTTCAGGGACCAATCTTGAAAAGATTCGTAGTCAAAAGGTGTTCCAATAACTTGAATGAGATTATTACTAACCTCTTACAGTCATATAGTCAGATAAAAAGATAAATCTTTGCAGACTATGTTATCTGTTACTCTTACTGTAGTATGCGCTTTGAATATTGTTGGTCCATGACAAAGATTTTTTAAAAAGTTTAATTTAAAATTAAAATTTCTCATTATACCTGGGATACATTTGACCTCTGAAGAACAATAGCTTAGAAGCTTTAATGGTTTTATGTACAAGTGAAATAATGTAATTAATATAGCTATCAGTGAAATGTTTAACAAGCTAATTAAAATGACAAATGTTATTTAGTATGAGTGTATTAAAGCTGATGTGACCTGAAGAAGGATTTGCTATGGAAAGCTTGCCCCTTTTCACCCTGCCCCAACATATTTTACGCATTCTAGTAAAGATCATTCCCTGTGGCCCTTCTTATATTCAGAAAAGCTTGTTTTAACGTGGAGTGGTTTTAAAATTGGTTTTATTTCTGTAGATGGCAGTTGAATATTGACAAAGAAAAGACCCATACCATTCATCGTTCTACCAACTGTTTATAACAAATGTCTTTTTTTTCCCCCTTTGGAACTTATAAGTAAAGTAGGTGAAATAGACTTGACTTTTGTCCAGAAAATCTTATTTTAATATCTCTTCCATGACCCGAGGGCTAGTAAGCAAAACATGAGTGTCTTTCAAGCTCTTTCCTAATCTTTTGCATCGTTTTAAAGGATAGCAAGATGGCTTGGTCATTCCGAGAATGGCTATCTTGATTTTATTGCAGTGGTGGCCTGCAGTTCTGTTCCACTTTCTTCCAGAGTAGGGAGCAGTATTAATAAAAGTGTCTGATAGCAGTGAACTTGACAGAAATTTAGTAGCCTTTTGGTCATTCCTTTGCTAATAGAAACTCTGTATCAAATCTTCATCCCAGCTATTGTGTAAAAGATGATGTAAAGGGTATTCTGCATGCCTGAACAACATTTTTGGATAATAATCCTAAAGAATAGTTCTATAATCCAGCTCCAATTTACCTTACAACTGTAGGACTTCATGAATACATGAAATAAAGATTGAGTGAAATGTGTATTCTGGCATGTAGGGGTGCAATAGATTCATTTTTAAAACCTTTTTCCTAGATGCTATAAATAATAAACAGACTTCTGTTTTAATATGTTATTTAAGATAATGAATCAACTGTAGTCAGAGGGCTTTCTGTTCACAAAAATAAGAGCCTGGGGACCACCTATTATCCTGGGTCCAAAATTTCATCTAAAGATACTTTCCTTTTTATGATGAATAGCTGAGAATATGTGAGGAACAGACTGATTTCCATGTTATTAACTAACATAGAAATCAATGGTGTTCTGGTTCTATAGAACTGACTTCACCCAGACAAATAGCAGTTGCTACATAAAGGAGGCCAGCAGAGAAGGTGAGAAGCATGTCCTTGTCAGTCTAATCTGAAGAAAGGCAGGCTCCTGAAAAGAGAAAGATCTATGTGACAGCTTTACTAGGAGTGTAAAAGCCAGGCCTACTTTTCTAGCCACCTTCTTGCATTTGCAGTTAAGATAGTATGAATCAAGAAATGAGGAAGCAGTGGTCATTCCAGGCAGAAGAACACTGTGGTTTTGACCTCTGTTTTAGAAGCTCAAACAAAATACTCACATAGCTAGCAAGGTAAAAGACAGTTCTACCACATTGAGCATCAGCTTTTCTGGCATAGATTCCATTTTGTTTCCTATGGTGTTATGTTGGTCATACTGTCCTGTTCTCTTTAGTCATATGGTATTAAGCAACTTTAATTCCATTTCTGTCAATGCATCAGATGAGACCAAGGTTTTTTTATGGCAGCATGTCTTTCTTACTAAGTCCTAATTTAAAAAAAGGCATGGGACTAGTATTTCATTCTTCGGACTTCTGTTTCGTAAGGATAGGATCCTTGATGGAAGTTTTAAAGACATGATGTTTATAAGGTAGCAGAAAATGAATTTCTCCATCACTAGAGCTTCACTTCTTTTAACTACTTTTTTTTCCCCTTTTGTAATAGAGACAAAGAGCTGATTATTAGTCATATGAAGTCTGTGGAAGCCACTCTTCATAAGGTAAGAACTTGAAGTGTTCCCTTGGCATTTCTATTTCTAGATACATCAAGGTTCTACAGCCTCTTACCCTCAAGGAAGGAGGGGAGTAGAAGTTGTTGTAAAGCAGCTTCCTTCCCTTACAGTTTAAGTTTCCACCCTGAACTTCTTTAATCTCCAAAAACTATTCCAATTTATTTGAAAGAAAATGCATCTTTGTGATCCAATACTTTTTATTTTTAATATAAAACTTCTTACAAAATTCACCTCCCTTCTCTCAATCATTGAGCACTTTCCCTGTGTACCAAGTGAAGACTATTGATCATCCAAACAATTCATAATTGCTGCTGAGTTAACTCTCTACTAAGGAAAGTAGATGTCATCTAGTGAGGTCACATACGTGGTGAAAATAAGATATTTGGCTTTGTGGATGCTGCTTTAATTTTTGATACATGATAAGTAAAATAAGGAAAAGACAGTAAGTGTTAACCCGTAATGAAAAACTTCCGTGATTTTTTTTATACTTTTTTTTTAAAATTGAGTAATAACCTAAATGTGTCTCTTTGGCTTGTAATATTTTGCTGTGGCATAGTATGCTTTGAAGGTCCAGCAAAGCTGTAAATATAAATTATTTGGGAGAAAGGGCTGGTTTTAGCTGTAGCTCTGATTGTTTTATACCTGTTTTCAGTCCAGAGCAACACAGAGCAAAAGAAGTGTTTTTATTACCTGGGAGTGTTCATTTCCCTTATCACATCTTGAATTCCCAGCAACATGGGAATCTATTCCTTATTTTAGTTTCTGTGTCCACCAAAACTGGTGTTAATTTAATTTTCAGATACTTTTTTTAAGTTTTTCTTTCTTTTTGAAGTTCACAAACAGTGACAGTACCTTAACTGTGTGTTTTAGCTACAGCAAACTGTGCTGATAGGCAGTGTCTTCCTTTGTGTCCCTGTCTTCTTCATACTGGCTTCTTTTAAGCTTGGGAATTCTATGTAAGGCAAAACTTGTTGTGTTTTTACAGTAACATGTACATATAATGTCCTTGGCCTTGAGAATTCATTGTTCTGGATTGGAAGTTTGCATTTTGATTTAGAAAGCAGTGCTATATATGCAAAAGGATTGAAATGTTTGGGGAAAGGTGATAGCGGAGGTCACGTAGAACCATATGCTTAGTACTGATTCTACTGATGGAGTAAATGGATCGAGAAACTGCCATTTTTCTTTGAGAATTTTAGTTACCACAGTTGCTTCTTCGTTCTTCATATACATAGTTGTTAGGCCCAAATAGCTTACTGTTGAGTAGCAGAGTAATTTATCCTTTCTGGTTTGTAAACCTAAAGAATGAGGAAGACATAAGAATTTGAAATGTCAGGTTGCTTCTTTCAGTAGGAACTAAAAAGAATTGGTTGTAAATCATTCATAATTTGACATACCGTTTCTCCTAGAAGAACAAAGGGAAATTATTGATCTTTGGGAAATATCTGAAATGTAAGCCTTATGTCATAATGGTAGCTAGTTAGCTAACAGTAATGAACATGCCTTACGTGTAAACTATCAAGTTTACACTGTTGTTCTTAAAGGTTTTCTCACGCATTGGAAAGTCAGAACATGATGAAGTAAATGAAATACTAGTAAACAAATCACAAGCCTGTTTTTTTCTCCTATAGAAATTCTAGGAACTGCTTTTGTCTTTAAAAAGGGAAGCAAAAGAAAATGAGTAAAGTTCAGAATTATCTGGAATTGAACAAGTATTACTATTAGCTGCAGATATATTTATGGGAGTTTGAAATTGAACATTGTGATATTTCTACGTTGATGTATTCATGAGCAAACATCCACCAAATTCCCCTGCATGGCTTGCAGGATCTGTGTTATCAATGCATAAAGCTAAATTTTTGCCTATAGAGCTCAAAGGGATTTTGCAGACATCCTTAGTAATCTTAGTTAGGCTAAGGATAAGACGGTATGCACTGATATCCATTAAAGTGACCTCATTCTTTTCTGTATTTTATCACTACAAGAATTCCAGAAGGCAGCAATGTAGGTACTAGATCATCTGCCTTTGGGTGTAACATCTACACTTGGGTGTAACATTCAGCAAACAAAGGAAGAGGAAGCAGAGCTGAGGGAGACAGTCTCAGTGCCTGCTCCTAATGCAGCTCTAGGCAAGGGATCATTTACAACACTTAGTGCCTCCCCTGTGACTGGATGGGAAATCGAGTATCATACTTGGCTTTGTCAACAAAGTGCTTGGGCATGCTTGTGCCCAGAGTGATTCTTTTAAGACCATTTCAGAGCCACCTTTTTAAATCATCATGAATATTTACGAAGCATAAATGCTGAAGAACTTGAACATGTGCTATGCTAAGAGAGGAAATATTTTTAGCAGCTAGTTCCATATCCTCCATAACCTGCAAGATACTCCTTAGAAGATTATTTTTTATCTTATCCTGGGTCTTGTCATGCTGGCTATCTTCATCTGTTTCCTGGAGCTAGATTATTTGCACAGCAGTTCCTGATACCATTTAAATAAGAGATCTTTCTGGGTTTTATACTGTCTAAATATTGAAGACAAATATCAAAGTGCAAAGTGAATGTTTTACCAAATTTAAAAAAAAACAACCATCATCATCAAGGGCAAACTAAGGACCTCAAGAAGATTGAGTTTGGGTTCAGTGCTTCTCATAATATTAAAGATGACCAAAAGGCAGTAGCTGATTTTACAAAAAATCTAGGTTTGGAAAACAGATGCAATTTTTTTTTTCCTTCCTTAGAACCTGTTGGATAGCCTTAAACTGAAAAACTTAGCAAAGAGGAACAGGTTTAAACATTGGCTACTCAGAGAACTTGTAGCCATGACTTGACCAATTCCTTAAAAAGAACCAAAACGTAATGTAAGATGCAAAATGGTAACAGAAATAAATTAATTTTTAGTGGAACAGTTCTTAGAAGAAATTCAATCTGCTTGAAGTTCAAACATTAAGAGTTTTCTAAAAAGGTCTTCTCATCAAGAGAAAAAACATTTAAATAAATGTTTTATTTTAAAACCCATCTGCAGTCTTTTTTTATGCATTAAAAATAAATGATTTTGGGAAACACTTTCTTCTTAAAAATATGTTGAGAAGTTATTTTTGTAATAAACATACCCTTGTTATACTTGTTGATAAACTGTATTTCATTATTAATTTTTTCCGTACTTCTTAAGATCCCATTTGCATAAATGGAGTAAGGGACTTAGGTCTGTTCATTCTGTACAACTAGATTCTTTGACATGTGTAGTTGATAACTTACTAGTTATGGTAGTCCCGTCAGTGGAAGAAATCATTTTACACCATCTCTGCTAAAATCTTCAGCCTTCCCTTTTCTTGCTTCTGAGTTGGAGTGCCTGTGGTGTCTTAGCCGTGGCCAGCACCCGGGCGCCCCCCCTCCCACCTCCCCCTTATTAACAAGACAGGGGGACAAAATAGGATGAGAAAGTTCATGCTGGGAGGTTGTGTACTAGTTACTGTCACAGGTAAAACAGACCCGTCTTAGCAAAGACATTAAAATAATTTTCTCCTAAAATAGATTTGGATAGTGAGAAGCAAAGACAAAAAATGAGCATCGTCCTGCCTTTTGGGCTCAACATCACTCCTGAGTCCTCTGCCTGTGCCTTGAGGCACGGGGGGGATGAGGGACAGGGGATTGCAGTCAGTCCATAACGGCTTCTCTCTGCTGCTCCTTCCTCCTCACACTGTTTTTCTGCTCCAGTGTGTACTCTCTGTGGACTTCGGTTCCTTCAGGAGTTAGCCACTGGCTCTGGTGTAGGTCCTCCACAGGCTACAGGGTGGACATGTGCTCCAGCATGGTCATTTCTGTGGGCTGGAGGCAAATATCTGATCTGGTGCCTCAGGCACTTCCTCTCTGCTACTCTGACTGGTGTTCGCAGGGCTGTTTCTCACTTTTTCTTCCCTCGTCCTCTACCTTTGTGTTGATTTTTGCCCTTGCTTAAATACATTTTCATAGAGGGGCACCATCTTGGCTGCAGGGCTCAGCCCTGTCCTGCGGTGGAACTGGCCATGTCCAGCATGGGGCAGCCTCGGCGCTCCCCACAGAGGCTGCCCTGCAGCCAAGATGTCCCTGAACTGGCCACCTGTGAGATACGCGCCCCACAGCTCTATCTGTTGTAAAAAATCCGGACACTGTACAATCCAGCCTCTTATACACTTGTAAAATATGAAAGAAAATTTGTCTTTCTTTATCCAATTTAATGATATTTTTAATATCATTGTTGAAGATGGGCTGAGACCATTGAAAACTTGAGAATTAGTAACGTTGTAGTATTATGTTGCTATTTCTGATGAGGTCCTTATCAACAAAATGCATTTCCGTATGATGGTTGTTTTATGGCCTGTAAGAAATTAATTTAGAATAGGTTTAAGTCCATATAAAAGTAACTACTACCTCAGTAAAAACACTCAGTGTCAGTGGCATTAATTGTTAGTTTCAGCAAGAAGACCACAAATTGATCAGGTATTGAAAAAACAACAGTTATGAGGCTAAAGTTAGCTGCCACAGTCAGACTCCAATAGACGTGACTTGATACTTTGAGATGTACTGATGAGCCACCTTTCTCTGAGTTAATGTGGATCTATAGCATATCATATATTTTAGTTATCTGAATAATGATTTAAAAGCCCTTGTTTTGGAGATCTAAACTTGAGATTTTTTCCATAGCCCAGTGTCACTCCCGGGGCTTATTCTTCTGTGTGTTCAGACACATCAACAGAGTGAAGCCTGCTTGTGTGTGTGTGTGTGTGTGCGCTCAGGGTATATTCATCGCTGCCGTCCTTGATTGTTCTGTACTAACCCTGCCACAAGCCTATTGAAACAGTGCGTATGTGTACATGCAATAAAATCACAAAAAAGCCCCAATATTAAAATTCTGAATGACTGCTGTTTATACTGAGAAGTAGTAGTAGGAAACAAGCTATTACTTCTCTGGGATAAGAAAAAAAATGCAGTAAAAAGATTACTGTTTCTCC